ATTTTTGAGGAAGGGAGAGAGAGAGAGAGAGAGAGAGAGAGAGAGAGAGAGAGGGAGAGAGAGACAGCAAGCGCAGAGGGGCAGAGAGAGACAGAGACACAAAATCTGAAGCGGGCTCCAGGCTCTGAGCTGTCAGCACAGAGCCCGACATGGGACATGAACTCACGAACTGTGAGATCATGACCTGAGCCGAAGTCAGACACTTAACCAACTGAGCCATCCAGGCACCCAACTAATAAACATTTTTAAAGCATTTAAATATCATTCCTCCTCAAACAGTGTATATAACCTGTCAGAAATGCCAAAAGAATAGGTAATAATTTGAGAATTAATACTTGAAAAAGGAAAAAGTATTCAATAAATCGTAAAAATGAGGTTTAATGGGGCACCTGGGTGGCTAAGTCAGTTAAGCGTGGGACTCCTGATTTCAGCTCAGGTCCATGATCTGTTGGTTTGTGAGTTCGAGCCCACAATGGGCTCTCTGATGACAGTGTGGAGCCTACCTGGGATACTCTTGCTCTCTCCCTCTCTCTCTGCCCCTTCCCCAAACGCTCTCTCTCTCTCAAAATAAATTAAAAAGTACAAAAAACAGTAATAACAAAAGAAGGCTTAATGCCACTGGAAGAGGAATAGCTTTATTCTCCTGTTCAAGTCACCTAGAACTAGCTGATTTCCTGCAAAATACCTAGGAAAATGTATTTATTATTCCTGATTTAGGAAGTGAATTCACTGAGTGACAGAAGTGCTCCATCCCTGGAAAATTCGCACTTAGAAGCAATCTCGGGCTACAGCCACAACGCAGAATGTCTCTCACAATCTTCTGCTCATATGCAAGAATTCAAATCAGCACCAATGCTCAACTGCAAAAATGAGCCAGGAAAGATAGAGACAGTAGAGCAAGAATGAACAAATTTCAATTTGCAGACATCTCTGACATTCACAGAAGTTTCATCTCTATCCAAGTTTCTCACTACAAATTAATCCGCCTAACACCAAATTCTGAAGTACCAATTATTACTTGACCACGCTAAGAAGAAAAAAGGAACCAAAGAAATAACATCTATTCCCTGTATTTTCATACTTGTAATCTTCCTGAAAGACTTAAACTCGTTTTATATAAACCATCTCAATTCTCATGGGAGGTAGAGAGAGTCAGGTTTCTGGAGGAAAAACAAGCACTAAGGGATTAAGTATCTTGTCCAGCAAGTCAACAGCGAAAATAAAACCAGACCCAATTATTTAGCCTACAAAGTCTAAATAACCTGCTTTCCTTGGTTCATAAACTTAGGACAGTATTTTCAAGTGCCTACAATGTATCTCAAACCACAGAATTTCACGGAACAATACATATAATCAGAACACTATTCCAGAATTGAGTATTCAGAGCAAGAAAGTACTGCTTGCCCCAAATCAATAAAATGAACTAACACGATGGACTTAAAAAATACAAGGAGGAAACAATAGCCATATTGGAGAAAATTTTCAAAGGTCACTCTATTCATCTTATACCCTACTCCTCAAATTCTCTGCCAGGGAGCCAAAGGGGTCAAACATGTTCCTTATGATTACGTTCTATACAAAAATCAAATCTCAAAATACTGCAAAGAATTTCAATGAAAGGTGTATCATACTTTAAAAACCTTTCCCTCCAAAAATAAAATCTTATAGCAATGCCTTCAGGGCATTATTTTGTTGCCTTCATGATGCACTTCAAGCTTGGATTTTAAAAATGATTAGCTCCCAGTTTATTTTTTAAATATTTACAGATTCAGATTACTTAAAATGTGTTATTCTGCTCAGCCCTCATTATATTTAGGCAAGGTTCCCATTTCCACTCAAACTTTTTATCTGAACATACAATGGCTGCATTAAGATACTTCCTAAATTGACAAACGGAGAAAACTAATCAACCCAGAAAGCTTCCCAAGGTATCAAAGCAGCCCTTTTATTTGAAATCATACTAGGTACTACATTACACACTACATGAAGCTCTCAAAGCGATAATTGAAGTTATTTCTGCAACATGATGAAATAATTTATTTTTTTGCAAAATCTGACAGGACTGAATTTTCTACTGTCAAAAGGGAAATCGTTTTTCAAGATTCTAGAAAACCCTGCTTACTAAGGCAGTCTCAAAGTAGTTTCCTTAATCCTTCCAAATCCCAAAGAATCTAACACAAGCCACAGAACACTGAATGAGACCTGCACTGAAATATCTGTGCTCAAACCCCTGAAGGTTATTTCCTATGTGTCTGGCAAGCTGATTGGCTTCATGTCCACACAACCCCAAAAGTCTTTCCTCAATAAAGCTAACACTATACTCCCTAACTCAAATCAAAATACCAGAAAATCCAACAGCCTCCAACTAAATTTTTCTTCAACTATTTGGGAGAAAAAGTCGACAAACCAGGATCGGCTCTTTGCACCCTGAAAGGGAGTTAAAGAATCTCAGAGCTCCATTGCTGCCACTTTTAGGAGCTGGATGTACATTACCTCTGTCTGCCTCTAGCATGGAACTCAGATATTACATCACTCAAAGCCTGAAAACTGCCCCATTACCCAGAAAGCACCAGGGAAGCTGAGACACTGCACCAAGGTATCCCTTCCTCCCTGATACATAGCCTTCAAAGGCTACTGACACCGGGCCCTGCTCTCTTGCAGTATCTTCACAAAGACATCTGCCCTGCACCTGCTGCAATCCTATTTCTATTCACTTGTGGTACACTCCAAACAACCCTGGATGGCTCTTCTACTTGCCCACTTGTCAGGCCAATGTGCTAGGACAACATCCCACCACACACCTCCTCCAAACTTGGGAGTGTGTACTACTGAGCTCTCCCTTATCCCTTCCCCATTCACAGAGTTCTGGAACTAAAATCGGGCTTCTTGATCTCTCTGATCCTAGAGGTGTGAACTTTCAGGTATGGCACAAGGGCTTAATGTCCTCCATTTTTCATTAATATCATTCCAGGATACATACACACACACACACTCACACACACACTTCAGTTCTATGCCTAGAATGTAATTCCCTCTCTTTTGTTTTGCTTTTTGTTTTTCCAACTTCTGCACTCTGCCTTTTCTTATATTTCCAGTGACCTAAAATTTTTGGCTCTCTTAATTTCTCAAGACTCAAAGTGCTCCAATCTCTCACTTTTCAGCATCCTGCTCCTTCATTCTCTTTTAAGCAACCTGTTTTCCTAACTCCCTCCAACCTGAATAGTCTATTTCCTGCCCCTAAACTTAGGCAATCTGCTTCCATTACCACCACCCCAATACCATACAGAACCTACCCCTTCCTAGTCACAGACACATTCACACACCTCCCTACCTTGCTCTTCTTTTACCCCATTATAGATACTATGCATTCTTCTACATCCTCTATCCAAAAATATCCTGTCTTCCCCGCCTTTCCTCTCTTCCCTGCCTAACCCCTTCTACCAGACAAAATCTAGCACCCCCAAGCCACACTTCCCTCTCTCTACATACTGTACTCTAGACCTGCATCCCTCCCCTCCCAACCCATCCCCTACCACCTCCCTCTACTGATTTCCCTTCACACACGTACCACCCCCCTCCTCCCCAACTTCCCTCCACACTTCCTGCCCCCAAAACATTTCCTTCCATCTGTTTTCGTACCTCAGCAGCTACTCCAAGAACATTCCCCTCACCCCTCACACCTCTGGCCCTCTACCTCACACATACCCCACTCCACTTGTCCGCTCTGATGTCCAACCCCAAAGTTTCCTCTTTCTGCTCCCTCACTTACATCTATACTTCCCACAAGAACACCCTCCATTTCACTCACTTCTCCTGCTACCCGCTAAATACCCTGCACACCTCCTGTCCAGACATCTCCTGTCACTGCCCATCACCCTACTCTACTGTCCTCACTTCTCTCAAACTCTGGCCCTGTTCCAATCACCTTCCTCCTTCCCCCCCATACTGATCTCCCCAGAGCAACACTAACACCTGCCTTTTCCTCTAACATGCCCTTCCTTCACATGGCCCACCTGTCCAGCCTCAACACTCTCCTGCCTCCTTCCTGTCTCCCCTACACACCTGCTGGCCAGATACAGTCCTCACATCCCTCACAGGTCTCCAGAAGCCTCTGGGCCTACCCTCACACACACCTCCTGCCTGGAAACCTCCATTTCCCTCACCATCAGTCCAGAGTTCCCTAGACCCCTCCGGTCCCTCTCTCCCCACCACACTAGCCCCTACCTGGACACCTTCCTCCACATTTCTCTTCACATTTGTCCGGTGGCCTTCCTTCTATCTGCCCCCTCTTCCTGCCCCTCACACGCAGCCCCAACCGGGACATCCGCTTCTTCTACTCCTCCCTCGAGTCCCTAATCTTCTCCTTCTATGCCCATCACACTCGCCCCTACCGTCCCCAAGGCCTCCCTCACACCCTCCCGAACCCCTCCCAGACTGCCCCCCACACGCCTCAATGTCCTCCATCCCTCTCGCACTCGCCCTGGCCCCAGTGGGCCCCCGAACCTGTCCGAAGGCCCTCCAGCCCCGTTGGGCCGGATCCCTCCACCCTTCATTCTCCCCCCAAGTCTGCCCACACCCTCCACCAGCCCCCCGAAGCCTCGCTCCCTGCCCCTGCCCCCAACGTCCTCCAACACCTGCCCGGAGCCCCTGGCCCTCCATCCTACCCAGACCCCCGGCGCCGGGTGCCCCCACACTGCCCACGCCCTCCCCTCGCTCGGGGCCGGGACCCCGTCCCCACGAAGGTGAGGAAGGCTGCCCGCTGCCCTTGCCCGAAGCGACCGGGGCACCGCAGCGGCGGCCACAATGCCGGAGCCACGGGGGCCAGGATTGCTCCCGGCTCTCCGCCCGGGCCGCCGCGGCCGCCGCCGCCGCTGCTAAGGACGCACAACAAACAATGCGGGGCCCGGGCCGGCTCCGCCAACCGCCTCAACCGCCGCCTTAACCGCCGCCCGCCCGGGACGGCCCGCCGCGCAGGCGCCTACCCCGCCGCCGCAGCCTACCCGCGCCGCCGCGCTCTGCCCGCGCCCGGTCCC